TTATTTGAAGTTCTTAAAAGATTGTTTGTCTAAAATTAATTTTTTGACTAATATTCAAATCAATGCTTACATTTCAACTTTAATTTTTTCAAATCTCTCCAAATATAGTTACTTTTTCCTTTGGTTCCCTAGAAAGAAACTTTACCCTAGATACGTATGACATAAAATAGCAATTATTACAATATCATTGGTGAGAGAATGAGAAAATAAAAATAAAATTGGCACGTGCTGAAATTTAAGTCAGAGTCTATGCCGTGTAGAATTTTAACACGTAATGATTTATTTTTAGCACTAAAGTTACACCAAAATGACTTATTTGGCACGAATGAAAAAAATTGGATGAAAAAAAAAGAAAAAAGAAAAATGATGAAAGAAACATTCTTATGAAAGAAATGGTGTATTTTTTTTTTTTCTTTCTGTTGTATAAAAGAGAAAAGAATATGCTCAATGCTTACTTTTCAACAATGATGGATTTGAACATCCTAAAAGTGATCTTTAGGTGACAGTTTCTCTATAAAATGATTAAAATTCAAATCAATGCTTACTTTTCAACTTTTGATTAATATTAGGTATATATTCAAATATCTCCAAATGTAGATATTCCTTTGGTTTCTGAGGAAAGAAACTTTTACTGGTCAGATATGTCGACGTAAACCAGACAAAAGAGGAGAGAAAGAGCTAATCCCGTGCGAAGGGATAGAGAGGAGATAGAAAGAAATATAAAGAAAGGAAAGTGAATAATGATGAAAAATAAATATTGTGAAATGAATATGTATGTGTGTGTATATAGAGTAATATTGATGAGAGAAAGTTTAACACACACAGATAGAGAGAGAGAACGAGAGAGAGAGAGAGTGTGAGGGAGAGAGCTGCCTTTTTATTGCACACCATCAGTTCATACATATAATGCCTATTTATAGGCATTCAATTCGAACAAGCCGCATACAAGCTTCTTCCATACGCCACAATATGAATGTCTTCATTGATGACATTATCAAGTCGTGGACCCCACACATATATAACACTCCGTCTTGGAGTTCACAAAACTACACTAAGAATATGCCTCGTTAAAACCTTACTAAGAAAAATTTAGTGGAACAAAACCCTAGTGAAGGAAAAAGAGTACAGTATTCTTGTGTATGGTATTGCATAGATTAAAATTGCTTCATTAAAACCTTACCAGGAAAACCCAGTGGGATAAAACCTGGACGAAGGAAAAAGAGTACAGTATGCTAATACCTTTTTGATCAATTGCTTCCCCTCATTAGTTCAATCCTGAAGATCCTTTAGTTGACGCATTCCAATGTTGTCCACTAACTTCTTGAATGTTGTAGTTGGAAGCGCTTTAGTGAATAAATCTGCTAGATTATCACTAGAGAGTATCTGCCGAACATCGATATCACAGCTCTTCTGGAGCTCGTGTGTAGAAAAGAATTTTGGTGAAATGTGCTTGGTTCTGTCACTTTTTATGTATCATCCTCTTACCTGTGCAATATAGGCTGTATTATCTTCATATAATATTGTTAGACTATCTTTGATTGAGGAGAGTCCATATGATTCTCGAATATGTTGTATAACAGATCTCAACCAAACACACTCTCTACCTGCTTCATGGATTGTAAGTATCTCAGAGTGATTTGAGGAAGTTGCAGTCATGATCTGTTTCATAGATCGCCATGATATAGCAGTACCACCACAAGTAAACAAGTACCCTGTTTGTGATCAGGCTGTATGTGGATCAGAAAGATAACCTGCATCTGCATATCCGATCAACTGGGGCTTTGATTTTCTTGAACAAAACAACCCCATATCAGTCGTTCCCCTAAGGGAATGCATAATGTGCTTGACTCCATTCCAATGTCTTCGAGTTGATGCAGAACTATATCATGCTAGTAAGTTGACTGCAAATGCTATATCAAGTCTGGTACAATTCGCAAGGTACATTAAAGCACTGATTGCACTAAGATATGGTACTTCAGGACCAAGAACTTCTTCGCCTTCTTCCAAAGGACAAAAATGATCTTTTTTAACATCAAGTGATCGGACAATCATTGGAGAACTCAAGGGGTGAGCTTTATCCATATAAAAGCGCTTCAGGACTTTTTCAGTGTATGTTGACTGATAGATAAGAATTCCACTTGGTAAATGTTCGATCTGTAGGCCGAGACAAAATTTTGTTCTACCAAATTCTTTCATTTCGAATTCTTCCTTTAAATAATTAGCAGTCGTGGTGAGCTCTTCAAGAGTTCCCACAAGATTTAGATCGTCAACATATACAACTATAATGGCAAATCCAGATTTTGATTTCTTGATGAAAATACATGGACAAACTTGATTATTCACATATCCTTCTTTTAGTAAATAATCGCTGAGTCGATTATACCACATGCATCTGGATTGTTTCAATCCATACTAGGATCGTTGTAGCTTGATCGAATACATGGTACATGGTTTCAAGCTGTTTGCTTCAGGCATTTTAAATCCTTCAGGGATTTTCATATATATGTCACTATCTAGTGATCCATATAAATAAGCTGTAACCACGTCCATTAGACGCATATCCAGTGCTTCTGAGAATGTCAAACTGATCAAAAAGCGAAATGTGATTGCATCCATCACACGAGAGTATGTCTCTTCATAATCAATACCAGGTCTTTGTGAGAAACCTTGGGTTACAAGTCGGGTTTTGTATCTTACAATTTCATTTTTCTCATTATATTTCCTTACAAATACCCATTTGTACCCTACAGGCATGACATTTTCAGGTGTCTGGACTACAGGTCCAAATACTTTACGTTTTGCTAATGAGTTTAGCTCTGCCTATATTGCTTCTTTCTATGTTGGCCAATCATTTATACATCGACACTTTTCGATATTTTGAGGTTCAGGGTCCTCATTAGCACCTGCAATATCAAAAGCAACTACAAATGAGAATATATCGTTAATAATAATTGTATTTCTATCCCACAATTCTCTATAGTTTAGTGAGATCTCATTATTTTTAGGTACCAATGCCTCTTCAGGGGCTTGTGCCACTTCCGGGGCATGTATATCTTCTGGGGCTACTTGCTTATAAAATTTAGATTGATCAATCATTTTCGTTATTCCTTTTGCAAGTGTGACCTCTTCAGGAGAGCCAATTTCTTTATTTGATTTCTCTTGTGCTTTCCTCTTCCGGGGAACAGTATCTTTTGCACCGACTGGTCTACCACGCTTCTGGCTTGTCTTAGATGCATTTGCAATAACACTGACAGACTGTCCTACAGGGACATCAATTCTTGCTGGAATATTTGCAGCTAGTATATGTGATTTCATCACTTTTTTTGTGTCAGTGAATGCATCGGGTAATTGATTTGCAATACTTTGCAAATGAATGATCCTTTGAAATTCTAGTTCACATTGATTTGTGCTAGAATCTAAATGAGATAAAGTCGAGACATTCCAATTAATAACTCGTTACTCTTCTAGCTTTTTTCTTTTCTCCCCTTAATGGAGGGAAAACAGACTCATCGAAATGACAGTTAGTAAACCGTGCCTTAAACACATCACCCGTCATAGGTTCAAGATATCTAATAATAGATGAAGAATCAAAACCTACATAAATACCAAGTCGTCGTTGAGGACCAATTTTGGTGCGTTATGGGGGTGCAATGGGAACATATACAGTGCAACCAAAAACTCGTAAGTGAGAGATACTTGGTTGTTGACCCATCACAAGTTGTAGTGGTGAAAAACCAAAATATGCAGTTGGTCTAATGTGAACTAGTGATACTGCATGTAATATCGCATATCCCCAAGTAGAAACAGGTAGTTTAGTTCTCATGAGTAATGGTCTAGTTATTAATTGAAGACGTTTGATAAAAGATTCTGCAAGACCATTTTGGGTGTGAATGTGTGCAACAGGATGTTCAATAAGAATGCCAATTGACATGCAATAGTCATCAAATGATTGAGATGTAAATTCTCCGACATTATCAAGACGGATAGTCTGGATTGGATAATCCGGAAATTGTGCTCGTAATCAGATTATTTGAGCAAAGAGTCAAGCAAATGCAACATTACGAGTAGAAAGTAAACTTACGTGTGACCACCGTGTTGATGCATCAATTAAGACCAAAAAATACCGAAATGGTCCACACGCTGGATGAATTGGTCCACATATATCCCCTTGAATTCGTTGTAAAAATGGTGGGCATTCAACGACGACCTTGGAAGGTGATGGTCTGACTATTAATTTACCCTTGAACAAGCGGTACAAGGATAATCATTTGCTAAAAGAATCTTCTGGTTCTTTAGTGGATGACCATGTGAATTTTCAATGATTTAGCGCATCATTGTTGACCCAGGATGACCAAGGCGATTATGCCAAAGTATAAAAATATTTGGGTCGAAGCACTTCTAGTTCGTCACTGCATGTGACTCAATTACTCTTATATTTGTATAATATAATCCAGAAGATAAAGCAGGGAGTTTTTCTAATACATACTTCTGGCATATAATACAGAGATATTCAACGCCCCCTTCATTTATAGTCTCAATATGATAACCGTTGAGACGTATATCTTTAAAACTTAATAAATTTCTTTTGGATTTGGTAGAGTATAGAACATCATCAATATTCAATTGTGTTCCATATGGTAACACGATGATAGCTCTTCCGGAGCCTTCAATTAGATCTGCTGGACCTGATATTGTATTGACAAGAGCTTTAACTAATGTTATACTCGAAAAATATTTTCTATTTCGGAGTAGTGTGCGTTGTTGCACTGTCTGCCAGACATATATCTTCATCATTTATCTTGGGTACAGTCAATGCCTTAGTCAGATTCATGCTTCTTCATATACACAAAATATATATTTCATTACTTCAAACTTGAAATACAAACTAGATTTACATGCACGTTAGCCAAAATAAAAACATACTAATATAACCTAGATAGAGATATATTGATACAGATAAGTTAAAACACACAAGGGATAACATGTTAGAGAAGGACACATTAATTAGTATGGATATTTCCATCACCAATCAAATGATTAATACTATCACTAGGATTAACAAAGAAGTCAGAAACATCAAGGTGAATAATATCAACAGGCAAGTCGTCATCCATAAAATTCATTTCAATTTCCTTTCCTTTTCCTTTATCATTCATTGAGGCACGGTAAAGATCAACTAGATGTTTGGGCGTACGACAGGTACGCGACCAATGACCTTTCATTCCACATCTATAGCAAGGCTTGTCATCATATATTTCAGGAGCTTTGTTCTGTAAAGCTTTTTCTTTTGCTTGCTTGGTCGCATTTGAATTCCACTTCTGGTGGGACGATGTGGAGTTCCTTCTAGGAACCAATGAGCAATTATGACCACCACGATTATTATAATTATTTATATTGCGACCATATCCACGACCACCACGATGTCTGCATCCATGTTCATGTCCATGGCCGTGAAATGATGACACATTCGCTTCTGGGAATGGTACAGATTCAGTGGGACGGGACTGGTGGTTTTGCATCAAAAGCTCATTATTCTGTTCAGCCACCAACAAACAAGAAATCATCTCAGAATATTTGGTAAATTTGCGCTCTCTATATTGCTGTTGTAGGAGCACATTTGAGGCATGAAATGTGGAGTATGTTTTTTCCAACATATCATCATCAGTGATTTTTTCTCCACATAATTTCAATTGTGAGGTGATTTTAAATAAGGCTGAATTGTATTCACTTACACATTTAAAATCCGGCAATCACAGGTGGATCCAGTCATAGCGAGCTTTTGGAAGGATCACAGTTTTCTGACGCTCATATCGTTCTTTCAGATTTTTCAACAGTGTAAGTGGATCCTTAACTATGAGGTACTCTGTTTTTAATTCCTCATGGAGGTGATGGCGAAGAAAGATCATGGTTTTTGCGCGGTCCTGAAGGACACATTATTTTCTTCCTTAATTGTTTCACCAAAATTTATGGCATCCAAGTGGATCTCGGCATCAAGGATCCATGACAAGTATTTTTTGCTCAAGATATCAAGTGCCACAAATTCAAGCTTGGTAAGATTTGACATTATGAACTACAAATGATAAAATAACATAGTTAGAATTATTTCACAAAAAGAATAATCAATTTGAGATTATAAAAATACTGCAATCACGATAATGTAATTTGTCAGTAAATATATAGTGTCAAAAGTTAATCATGTGCTTTCAGTAAACAAAACAATAACAAAAAAAAAAAAAAGACAAAATATGTTTACACTAAAAGGCACATATAATTTATATTTCTACGTTTTGCAAAACTTCAGGTTTATAAGAGTACTCAGTGTAAATGACTTCAGGTCAAAGAATTTCAGATTCATTTGGACTTCAGGCCAACAAATTTTGCGAAACTTAGGGTTTGCAAATAGTACCAAATATTTGTGAAACTTTAGACTCACAAAGAGTATATTAATATATGCAAAATTTCGAGTTTGCAAATTAAATAATTTAGTATTTGCGAGACTTCGGGCTCAGCAATTTACTTTTCAAGAATGGACAAAAATATTCTAATATAAATAAATAAATAAATAGTTGCAAGACTGCAGGCTCAACAATTTTAATTATATGTAAAATTTGAACAACAACAGTTAATATAAATAATTATTTTTCTTACCCTTTGAAGTGAGAAAGAAAAATAGAATTTTCTTCTCAGTTGACAGAGCCTCGTGCTCATAACGTGAAATGAATATGTATGTGTGTGTATATAGAGTAATATTGATGAGAGAAAGTTTAACACACACAGAAATAGAGAGAGAGAACGAGAGAGAGTGAGAGAGAGAGCTGCCTCTTTATTGCACACCATCAGTTCATACATATAATGCCTATTTATAGGCATTCAATTCGTGGCTTCCCATACAAGCCTTATTATGGCTTTTAGTGTACACAAACAAGCCTCATACAAACTTCTTCCATACGCCACAACATGAATGTCTTCATTGATGACATTATCAAGTCGTGGACCCCACACATATATAACAGATTGAACAAAATGAGGAGGAAATATGGATAATGAAGGAAAATAAGGATTGAGCAAAATTAGGAGGAAATATAAATAAAGGAAAGTGGATCATGATGGGAAATAAAGAATGAGCGTTTCCAAATTTTAGCTTATAAATTCCTACATAAGACTTGGACTTGAAAGGGAGGAGAGCCACGGATTAGAACACAACAAAAAGGGTTTTTGCCGGAGGAGAACCACTGATTAGAACACAGTAACAGGGGTTGTCGCCACTTCAGTGGCATGTAATGCAACGGATTTGATAAGTTTGATAGGTCATACTCAGAGAAGACGGAAGTACTACAACCTTAGAGTAATGTAGTTAGGTCACGAACCACCTTAGAGTAAAGTAGTTAGGTACACGGTTCGTGACAACTGAAGATGAGTTATACTTAACTTTTGATTATATATGTATTTATCTTCTTGACGATATTGCTGTAGCCACACAAATCTTAATCATACATAGATTGAATTTTCCCATGTTAAATACAATTAGACATTGTTATGAGATTTGTGGTAAAGTTAATTCTATATCTTTTATCTTTTATTATTTTTATTTATCTAGTTTAAATTCAAAATTCAATTTTCAATCAACTTGTTTAATTAGGTTAGATTTAAATTAACTTGAATTTATATTAATTTTCTATCAACTCATTCTCTTGAGTTCGATCTTGTACAATTTGAATAAAGTAATTATAAAAAATAAATTATTTTTGTACAAAGTGTATCCACAACGACAATACCATAATATATACCTATCAATATTTAGGAATTACAAAGTCTCAACAGGGTGCCACTAATTTCTTTTCAAGCAACCTAATTGGATCAAGTCAATGTCAGGGGAAAAGAAATTTCTGCCTACTGCTACTTATAGTCAAATGATGTGACCAACATTGCGTAACCAACTTGTTTTGAGATGTTAATGATTTGAATCGATAATCAATTGGGATCACATGTCATTAAAAAGATGCATAATTTAGGTTTCCTGTGAACAAAATTGTACTTTATATTCTCATAACTGTTTATAAGATGGTTTCATTTCTAACACTTCCTTGTAAAAACAGAAGAAGAAAATATTTCTTTGAAATACCAAAAGTAAACGAAGAAAATAATTTTACTGTCCTATGTACATTCATTAATTCTTGGGTAAGAAGTCTGGAATAAGCAAAGGAACTACAAAATTAAACATGAATGTATGTATCTACAAGAGCGAAGAAAATGCATACTCATACAGGCAACAACTTTAATTTCAAAGTAAATAATTAGAGACTTTCACAAAACCTGGGAAACTAATAAATTAATTATTCTTGAGAAGTTGAATTATTGGGATAATTATGGGGTCGATTTTCTTGATGAAATATTATATTTTACTCGTATTTCAGAAGTAGATCAAAGAAAAATTCTCAATAGCCAGGAAAAAACAAAACCAACATAGGCTCCTTAATTTGCCCTTCGAAACTTCTTGTGTACATCCTTTCTCTGAAGTATTATAAATAGCAACTCCTCTCTTACACAAAATCATCAACTAGAAATGAAGACAACAAGTGTTTCGTTGCTCTCACTTCTTATTGTTTCTCTATTCTCAATTTCATGGGGAGTTTCAGCTGTACCCATGAAGATTTTCTACAATGTCTCTGTCTTCATTCTCAAAACTGCTCATCTATATCCAAAGTCATCTATTCCACAAACAACTCTTCATATTCATCTATTTTGCAGAGCTCTATACAAAACTTGCGATTCAATTCGTCTGAAACCCCTAAACCTCTGGTCATTGTCACACCAACCCATGAGTGTCGCATTCAAACATCCATATATTGTTCCAAAAATCATGAATTGCAGATAAGAATCCGAAGTGGAGGACACGACTTCGAGGGCCTTTCCTATGTTTCTGAAATCCCATTTGTCATAATTGATCTGATAAACCTTAGATCAATCAATGTGGACATTGAGAGCAACACTGCATGGGTTGAAGCTGGTGCAACTATTGGTGAACTTTACTATAGAATTGCTGAGAAAAGCAAAACACTTGCCTTCCCTGCAGGTCTTTGCCATACTGTGGGTGTTGGTGGACACTTCAGTGGTGGAGGGTACGGCGTGTTGTTGCGTAAACATGCCCTGGCTGCTGACCATGTCATTGATGCTCGTATAATCGTTGTCAATGGCAGAATTCTCGACAGAGAATCGATGGGGGAGGACCTCTTTTGGGCCATCAGAGGAGGCGGGGGTGCTAGTTTTGGTGTCATTCTTGCATGGAAAATAAATTTGGTTCCTGTTCCATCAACTGTGACTGTTTTCACAGTCCCCAGGACATTGGAACAAAATGCAACCAAGCTTGTCCATAGGTGGCAATCCATTGCACACAAGTTTGATGAAAACCTATTGGTCAGAGTCCTCATAGCAAGAGTGAACACCACCTATCAAGGCCAAAACAGAACAACAATACAAGCTTCATTCGACTCATTTTACCTTGGTGGAGCTGATGAACTCATTCAATTGATGCAAGAAAGCTTCCCTGAGCTGGGATTGGTGAAACAAGACTGTATCGAAATGAGTTGGATCGAATCAACCCTACGCTTTGCTGGTTTCTTAAGTAGAGTCCCTTGATGTTCTGTTAGACAGGACTTCTCCGTACAGACGATATTTCAAAGGAAAATCAGACTATGTGAAGGAGCCAATTTCGGAAAATGGGCTCGAAGGGATTTGGGAAAGGTTTTATGAAGAAGAAGCCGCGATGGCTCAGCTGTTCATGACCCCATATGGTGGAAGAATGGATGAAATTTCTGAATCTGCAATTCCTTTCCCACATAGAGCTGGGAATTTATACAAAATTCTGCAAGTGGTGTATTGGGATGAAGAGGGGATAGAGGTTTCTGAGAGGCATGTGAGTTGGAGCAGAAGGCTTAATAGGTACATGGCTCCTTATGTTTCCAAGAATCCAAGAGAAGCATATATCAACTATAGAGATCTTGACATAGGAGTGAATAATAAAGGCAACACAAGCTACACACAAGCAAGCATTTGGGGCATTAAGTATTTCAAGGGTAACTTCAAGAGATTGGTACATGTTAAATCCTGCTAATTTCTTCAGGAGTAAACAGAGCATTCCAGCTTTGTCATCATGGGGGAAGAAGAAGAAGAGAGGTGATTAGATACTTTGCAAAAGCCGCAAAATATGATATAATTAGTCAAAATTTTGTTATTCCATATGCATTGAGAACCATTGTTCAGGTCTAAAATGCCCTCCAAACTGTAATTCCAAAATACCAAATTATCTTTCTTAAATCAAATAATCCCTTCACTCAAAAAAATTACGAAAACATCATTATGATATATGAGGATGTTGGGAGGTGTGAACTGTACTTTTATCATTTTCAAGGATTAAAGGTATGAAGCTTTATTAAATATGGTAGCTTCACAATGAAATCAGCATATATATCATGCTGCAAAATAGCTGATTAGAGATGGAAAACAAGAAGAAGAGTGACAGCAGGATGTAGTTTAACAGACACTAAGAAGCTGACAAGCCATCTAAATTCCAGCAATCTAGGAAGAAGAAAACACACACACACGAATTCAAATAGTCTTAATTGATTACACAAATTCAAATAGTTTTAATTGATTA